ATATATGATAAATTTGATAATAGCAATAAGATAAAGTATGATGAAAATAAAAAATGCTAACAGATGTGTGTTAAAAAGATGCATGCAGTAAAAAATTGAAAATTTTAGAAATTTTTTTTTTGAAAATTTTACATCTTTTAGCAAATAATTTAGCAAAAATTGAGAGAAAGCAATAGTTCAGTAAAGCAAAATGGTTCAGTTTTTTTCTTTACAGATTCTCATGTTATTCATTCCTGCCACAAAGAATGATGAATCAGCAAACTAAACTTGCATGAATCATATCGTGTAAATAAGAATGAATACTAAAACTAAAAAAAAAAATTGATGTGTTCGGTTAAATTAAAAAGGATGAAATATTATCAATCCTTACAATTAATTATTTTTTCTTTATCCTTTTGAATATAACCATTAATTTAATTGGCTTAATTGATTAAAAAATGACGAAGCAATTACAAGCAAAATGAATGTATGCCAAATAAACTAAAATGTTACTGATGAATTGATTGATTAATTAATTAATAAGACGAAATATTTTTTGTATATTTTCAGATATGGTAGTATTGATCGTTTAGCATCATCAAATCATCGAAAACCATCATTTAATAATTTTTCATCTAATGCATTTGCCGCAAAACGTAGTACAAGTTATGGTTCAGGTAATTGCACATAATCACAAATTTCCTCTTTCGGTATGTAAATTCCTCTTCTGAAATAAAACTTTCTCTCTTTTAAGTTAAAAAGAGGAGGGGAGAGAAAAAGAAAAGAAAATTTATAATTTAAGCGTAATCATTCATTGATCATTTGTAACTTTATCCGAAAAAGAAGCAAAAGAGATGAAAAATTTAGCTTGCGTCACTACCAAAATCTCGAAGAATACACATTACTAAATTATTAATCAGCTAATTGATTAATTAATAACCAATATAGTAATTATGAAAAGAATATAAAATTAAAAATAGTGAAAAGAATTCGAATTTAATCTTGTATAAAATATTGAGATTAATTGATCATCCAAAACATCATATCACTAAGTTAAATCTTATAGTTACCACTTAATTAATTAACTGATCATCAATTGATTTTTAAGATAAAAGGAATTTTTGAGATATTTAGGAACAAAATTAAATGACAATATTGGAACATTATCATTACGACGTCACGATAATGATCATATTCCTGCGTATGAACGACGAACATCGTTAGTTTTACTCTTTTACATTTTTTATTTTTAAAAATCAAAATTGTATTTTTATCCGAAAAAAAAATCAATTTCGAGAATTTTTTTTTTTCAATAGATTAATTTTTTTTTTAGAAAAAACATATTCGATCATTACTAATGATCAGTTTGCATGTTAAATTACGACTAAAATGATTAAAATCACATCAAAATTTCATTAGGAATATTACTAATGATTTAAGTGCTATCAATGTTAATATTTTTCATATATTAAATATCGTATTATTAGCACAAATCATTACAAACATAATATAATAATGTTTTATTTAATTTACTTCAAATCTAACTTAATTAAATTAATTTTAGTATCGATTGTTATAAATTTTTACAAACATAATATAATATTTTTTGATCCAATTTAAGTCAATTTATTTTAAGTCGTATTTTTTCAAATATTAGATAATGTTTGTAATAAAAGAATTTAATTTAAGCTAATTCATTGTCAGGTATGCGTCAAGTCATTATTCTACATCCGGTTACGCATCATCATACGGAACACTGCCACGTTATAATCGTTCACAAACTCCAAGCTATTTAAATCGAGAACGAAATTATGCATCAAATCGAGAATACAAATCAATGTCACGTTTTTCAACTGATAGAGTAAATTAGCAAAATGATAACATACCAAATTTTATCACTGTATTTGTCTTAATTTTTTGTCCTGCACACATCATATCTTTCTAAAAAATTTTCAACTTTATTTAAAAAAAAAAAACAACTTTAAATGTTTATTAATTTAAATTTTTTTGAAGGAATATTCTGAATCAGATGATAACGTCAAACAAAGATTGGATAAACTTCACAATCAATATACAAGAGAGAAGAATGCATCAACAAATGATACCAAATTTTGTAAGTTTCATAATTACAAATCTTAATTGATGATTCTTAACTGTCCAAGCTTCTTATCAAATCTAACTATGATATTTCATAATTTGATACGGCAGTGATAAGTTCTGCTCATTATCTAATTAACGGTTAATTATAATCCCTAACAATTTAACATAAAATCTATTATAATATGCTCAATCGAATATTTGAACGAAAAATACTGATAGCATCAACGCTTTTTAACCATAATGATAATTTAATGAAATATTTTTTCAACTTTAATTATGTAATTTTGATTACTCTTTTCTTATTTTTAATTATGTAATATTAAATGTTATTGTAATGAATTAAATAATTTTTCATTTTTTTTTGATGGTACGAAATATATCTCACATAGCGAAAATGAAACAGAACAGGATGATAAGGAAGAAGGAGAAGAAGTACTTCCACTTGATGAAAGTGAATTGAAAGATGTTTTACGCGATATTTCTAAACTTAATGAGCAAGATATGATAGAGGTGAAATTATCAAAAAATTTATAAATAGAACGAAGAAAAAATTAGTAATTTAAATAATATAAATTACAGAATAATTTCAAATTAAATTTAAAAATTCATCATTAAAAGTTCAGGCATTTATCAAATAAAAATTTTTAAATTTCATCTAAAATAAAATCGAAGAAATTTCGTAAATAAAAATTTCAGAAATTTATTTGAAAAATTGATTTGTGTCCTTTTTTTTTGTCAAATTCATTCGTTTTGTTATAAAATTTGCTTAGTAATCTGGTTTAATTTTAGGATGATGAATTGAAAACTCCCCGTTGCTCCAAAGAAAAAGAAATATTATCTATTTGTGCTACAAATAGTATTGCATCAAATTCCGCTCCAATAGTGATAGGTTTTGCATCGTTTTCGATTTGAATAATAAAAACTGATTATTAATAAAGTTTCATAAAAAACTTCTCAAAAGTTCTTTTTGGCTTGGAATAAAATTTTAAATTTTAAAAATGATATTTTTTCAATAACTTTTTTATAATTTGTTTCTTGAAAATATTTTTTAGAAAGAATTCTGTAAAATTCTTCAATTTTTTTTCTCAAGAAATATAAAAAACAAAAGTTCCATACTATTTTTTTCATTTTTTTTGGATAATAGATTAATTCATTACTTAATGTTGCAGAAAATGTTGGCCAAATAGCGTTGTCATCGGTGACAGCATGCAACACAAGTTCTTCTGCAGTGCCAATAAATGATAACACAACTTTTATCATTCAATCCAATGA